GAAATTTACAATTTATAAGTGTGAATTTTTAGGCTTCTGTAGTTTGTTGTCTTGAACTCTTACTTCCTGTTTTGACCATTTAGAATTCTGAGTGTGGATAAAAGAAAACTAATTGTTTGGAATAAGATTTTTGATCAAAGGGATTTCTCTACTAGTAGGACAAGTTGCTATTATTTAGTAGGTTGGTACAACACCTTGAATGTGTGACTGAGTGTGTTGCAAAAGGAAACAACCCACGTGATCATGGCTCATGAATGAAATGAAGCTTTTTTTTCATCACATAAATGGTGATGGATTGGTTGCATGCTTTTACATCAGGGTTATGAGAATATGAGGTCATATTATGGTACAATCGTAAAGTTGTTTCATTGTGACATGAGCGCGAGTTGTTCGAGTCACAGAAACATCCTCTCCGTATAGGGTAAGGCTACATATGTTTGAACTCCTCTAAACCCTCCATTGGCAGAAACTTTGTGCACTGAATTGTTTTTAGGCAAGAGTCAAGAAATTGATTGTAATGGGTTAATTTCATGAAGTCTTGATGTAAATCTCAACCTAATTCTATGGTTGAGATGGTTCAAATATAAAGTTCTGAAAGCGTTGAGGAAGGACGGAGTTCTAGCTAAAAAGCCAAATCAACAGATCTTCTATGCACCTTCAAGCTTAGGACAAAAGTAATGACCTATAAACCTAAGGACCCTTAGTTTTTTTATAGACTAAGGTTAATTAGAATAATGAAATTAGAATTAGGAATATCCGCAAGGAATTAATTTTCATTTCAAAACGTCTGAAACGTTTCCATTTCCATGAAAATCGAAATGAATCATTGATTGAATATAAAATTCCTATGTTTTGAGGTGTTTCGGTGTGTTTAGAGTTGTTTCAATATGTTTCGACCTATGTTTCGGTTGTTTCAACCAATGTTTCGAAAATAAATTTTTAAATTTTTTCTTTGTTTTCATCCTATTTTCAAAACATTACCAAAATATTTACATTTTCAAACTCGCCGAAAACTATGCACCAAAATGAAATTTTGATCATTGAATATCCGTGAATGACTCTTAGGCTTTTCATGAAATGATTTTCTAAACCTAAATGTGTTTTGAAAATATACGATGAGTCATGTATTAGACCCTATTTGAACAATTTTTTGAGTGCTCAATAGGCCAAGTTTTTGCAGGGTTTTTAGCTTAAAAACCAAAAAGGACCGCTTTTTGCTTTCTTTCCTAGGGTGGCCTCTCAACACTTAACGATAAAATTGGGAAAGACTAACATATTGGATAGTACATACCGCCCTATGGCCACTCTCATATCGCTCAAGCGGTCTGCAGATGACTCCAACAGTCCTTAGATGGCTTGAGCGGCCTTTGTTTCTCTGATGTGGTTTAAACCAATTTTTCATTCCAGTGACAACCGCTCTCTGATGGCTTGAATGGTGGTTTGCAAATTTATGTTTATTTTGACCCAAACAAACCTAATTCTAAACCTTTATAAAGAGTAAGCCTTCCCAAGTTAAGGTAACTCTCTTGTAAGCCTCTAAGACTCTGAAATTTAACCTCCTAAACATCTAGAGAGCTTAGAACAACCCTAGATCCCCATTGACCATCTATCTTGATTCTTCTATTCAACCTCACACATTGAAAAATGAGATGTAGCTTGGAGTTAAACAAAACCCATATTGGCGTGTGTATTCCAAGGATCTTGGGTGCGTCCTAGAAGATCGCTCAAAGAGTATAAACAATCCATTGCGATGGATGCATTCAAGTGAAGCTATTCATAAAATTGGTGGGTAATACCTAGTGGAGAGGTATGCAACGGAAAAAAGTGTCTAACCATGATATTTTTAACATTTATGAAATGGTTTATGGGAGTGAAGTCAGCAAGGATCGAAATTTCGTTTCGAAGTACTGTTTCGGTTAGCTAAAAAATGGAAATGTTTCAAAAATGTTTCGGAAACGCAAAAAAAATATGAAAACGCATAGAAACACAAATATAATCCATTAATTTATAAAGATAAGCTAAATAATTGATTAATTCAACATATTTATTGGGTTAACATCCATTTATACAAGAATAAATTTAAATTTGAAGGAAAAAAAGGCTTGACATGAGGCGAAAAGCACTTAAATTAGTTTCAAACACTTAATTTTTATGAAATAAACACATTTTTACATAATATTAAGTTTTTATAATACACATGAACTGCTAATGAGTACATACTTACATGGCTACATTCATCCCCCTGTAGAGTGTCGAGCAGGCTCATACATCGATGTAGGCTCTGAGTAGGTACTTAGAGAAACTCCATATGTGACATAAATATGATGACAATAGTTACTCCAACTTATATTATTACGGCAATATTATCCAAATAATAATACTATTTTATTATAATACTAATAATGAAGGGATATCAAATTAAATTAATGGTACTTATGTATACTTAAAAATTAAATGTAATTACAGTGGGCATTAAATATAATTACAGTGGGTATTAAATATAATTACATTAGAGTATTAAATATAATTATTAATACTTATAACAAAAAAAAAAAGCAAAATAATTGCACAACAGTGGGGTATTAAATATAATTACAGTAGGGTTTTAAGTGTAATTATTTATTCTTATAACAAAAAAATTATAAAAGGCAGAAGAGCAGTGGGAATTAAATGTAATTATAGTGGGGTATTAAATATAATTACAGTGGGTATTAAATATAATTATAATAGGTATTAAATGTAATTATTTATAGTGAACCGAATATATCACTGTTTCGTCGAAACGGTACTGTTTCAATTGAAACGGTCCGAAACAGTACCGTTTCAACCGAAACACTGAAATTTTGTGATTCAACTACTGTTTCGTTTCGGAGTGTTGAAATTTCGAAACGTTTTGAACGTATCGACACGACATTTGGATCCTTGGAAGTCAGTAACTTCGTTTGGGTCAAAGCCAAAAGTGGCTTTGTTTGGTAACAAGGCAAGAGCTAAATGGACAGACTCTAACTAGGCTCAAAAAGCCGTAGTAGATCATAAGGAGACATAATTCAGAATTGCAAAAAATCCTATTCAATTGTGCATAAGGTGACATAGGATCCAACTAGGTTTTACATGATAAATGAGCAACAAAATATATGAATTCGGATTGAGTGTCCAAGATAATGGCACCAATTAGAGTATAACAGGTTTTTGAATGAACCATACCCACTAGTAAAGCAGGTAAAGGTTGTGTCATATTAGGTTTGTGTTCATGTTGTGTTAAAATCGGTTCGATCCATACACTACTCATTTATAATCATACAAAATTAGGTTCGTGTTGAACATTTATTAAGCGGGTCAGTCTGATTAGGACCAGAACACGTAAATGTTAAACTCATGTCCACAACTTTGTATCAATTTTGTGTCTGGTTGGCGAAGCGTGTTAAAAATGTCAGCACTACCTACTATGCTAACTACACTAGCATGCATTAGTTTTGTGCTTTATCCTTGTCCAACAAAGCAATCTTAATGTTTCCCTAAGATATCTTGACGCACAGTTGAATGAATGGAAAATTATTTGAAACAATTGGCAGACCCATTTGAAGTTGTAAGTTGGTCGTGTTTTCTGCCATTATTTTCCTCATTAAGTCCCAGTTCCAAGCATCAAAGACGTGAAAAACACATTTATATTTATGTACAATTGTTTTCATGCAGGCATCAAAACATCAATTTGTGCTGATAAATTTTTTTTCTGCCTTGAAAATTATGGGCTTAGTCATGAAATCTCCAAGTGTTGCTGCTTTTGGTTATATTGCAATTACAAATGTTATGCCTAAATGCCTATCATCAGTTAGATGTGACTTTGTGGTTGATAAAGCATAGAGGTTGAGGATCTAAAACATCATATCATTTTTGAATAGGTATAGTTGAACAATTTTTTTTGGAAAAATATCATCCACGCTCTTTGTAACTTACCTAATCTTTGTGGTTACCCCTAGTAATTTTTGAAACTTTATTGACATCCTCGATATCATATCTTTATATGTAAAATAGGTGATTTTGGTGCATCTACAGATAAACAAATATTACAAGGGGTGTTAATGATGCTTAAGATATTGCAAGAGGTGTCTTTGAAGATAATGCAATCTACAGTGGGTGTAGATAATTTTTCCTAAATATAAATATATTAATTGTATGTGTAAGATGATGATTAGGGTAATTTTTGGGATTTTTTAAAAAAAATTAGGTTTATGGTAATAAATTTTTTATTTGTAATGATCGCTAATCATGTTATGTGGTGTGAATGAATCGGATATATGAACTAGAAGGGGGTGTAGTAAAGTTTAAGATAATGTAGGGAGTGCCCTTGAAGATGGAACAATCCACAAGAGGTGTAAATGTTGTTTTCCTTATTTTTTTTGTAATTTTGTTGAACAATATCTAAAGGAACTACTATATGCAATCAAATGGTCCTTTTTGTAATGGTACCTTTTGATTTGACTGTAAATTCAGAATATTTTAAAGCTTCATTTAAAAACTCAGATAAAAAGAAGAGGCTATACAATATAATATAAAACCTGGCAACATCTGAGGCTCAAGCGTGTGACAAAATAATACACAAGAAGGTCCAACTTTAAGTAAAACTTCTAGTTTTGTGCTAATTTTTGTTCAAAGTTTTGGATTATTTTGTAGAGTTCAATTGTAAGTTGTGCGTTCAAAGGGATGCAAAGCATGTGTAATGTAAAATTTGTTTCCGATGTATGCATGAATTCTAGAACATGCCTGGTTAGGAAGATTACATAAATATATATATGTTTTTACTGCACGTAAGTAGGCAAGACGTCCCATTCATGTAGTCCAATTTTTCCAAGAAGTAAGTTTCCGCCTCTCCACTCATTGCCTTCTCCCACTGTCTGTAAACACACTCTGTCTGTCATTCATACTCACTAGTTCAGATTTTCTCCTAAGGTTTTGGGTTTAGGTATTGATTCTTCAGGCCAGATGTCGTTGAAACCTATGCTTTTATTACATTTTGTGTTATACTGTTAAAAAATTGCAAATCTCTTGGACGGAAACACACAGAATACACATTTCACTAAGGACAATTCATTACAGAGAACATACAAGGTTTGTAAAGAGCAAGGCTCTATCCTTGAAACATATCAGTCACACAGTGGAAACTAGATGTAGACAACAAAGCTGTGAAACAAAACCGAAAGAAACTGACTCTTTAATTACTATAGCATCTAATCCCATAGGAAAAGATGACCATGCATATTTATTGTGCTGCTTTGATTTCATGCTTCAATCCTGCATATGAAAAAACTGATTAGTTGATAATATAATTATTGGATGCTGAAGACAATTGAGACTAGTTCATATTTTACCTGTAATCTAAGTGATATTATTATACGATAATATGACACTCCTGGCTTATTTATTTATGATAATATAATGGGAGTGGGAGTGGATGCAGAAGTAAATTTCACAAAGAAAATAACAATAACAAGAAATTTGTCAATGTCACGTGAAAAGGTGCTTTTAGTAGAGGAGCCATTAAAATGTGTTTTTCTGCTGTTTCTGTTTTGCAAATGAAACAGAAATCATATGACCCCCGAATCTTTTTAATATGCCTTTGTTATGTTGGGTCAGTTCCAGCATTCCTCGTGGGAGTATGAACATGGAAAACTGGATCTATCCCTTCTTTTAGCCTCAGCCATCAGTAGTTGTGGACTTGTGGTTCATTATTCCTATTGCCTACATGTGCTTAGTGTTATTTGATGGCTAAGATAGTAAGAACGTTGGCTGGAGTACATAGTCACAAATTTCAGGCCAAAAGACAGCATGTTATGTGACAAAAATTAAGTCCACAAAATTATATAGACGGAAATAGTATGTCTACTTGGGCTCACTATGTTAACGTTCCACTTGATGTGCAATTCACATTACCTCTGCTCCTCGTCACTTATTTTTTCCATGGCCACTCCCTCCTGTAGTCCTGTAGTTGGGATAGGGAACTTGGCCACTCTCGATATGCTTGACATCCTCCACGAGGCGTTCATAATGCCTCTTCACTTCCTCTGCAGTTTTTCCACCAACGGCCTTGGCGACATTGTACCAACGGTCAGGGGTATCCTTGTCATACACAGCCAGGGCCTTTTCAAAGGCCTTGTTCTGCTTAGCAGTCCAAGAGCCAGAGTCATGAGAGGACATTGAGCTAGAGGCCATTTATCTGGGTGGGAAATGTTATGCAAGTTCAGTCAAGTAAAATAATGAGGAATTGATGAATTCAAGGTGAAAAGGTAAGGAGATGGCGTGGAATAGCTGAAAGGCAAAGGATACTGAGAAGAATGAAGAGAGTCAACAGAGGAGACTCAAGTCAAGAGCTGATATGTGCAAAGAGGTGGCAATGGTTGTGCTTTATAAGCTCCATGGGTTGGGTTGAGGTGGGGTCATGCCAACTGGCTTGTCGACCTTGCAAACCTTGAAGAATTTTAATGATTTGCTTGCCCCCTTAAGAACCACAAACTGAAGTTGGACATAGAATAAAGGTTGGAGAATCAGTATCTCCAAGAACTTTTAAATCTTTATCTACCTTACACTTGCAAAAGTCCTTTTTCCTCAGCGTTCCATCCGATAGGATAATTCCATCTATAAGCATATGTTTTGTTTACTAGAAAAATAAATTGAACTCCTAATTACATTCGAAGTCATGCATAAACTAGAATACTCTTCCTTAAGCTTAGATATTCCTTCCTTAGCCTGTGGACTCATATTACCAAAACTTATTCACGTGGTTTGGTTTTTGGGATGGCCTAAGTATGGATTTTAGTTTATACAAGTGGGTGACAGCTTTACAAGATAAGCATGCTAACTAAAAATTTGTTCTGAGTGAGATCTCTCATCTGTGAGGATCTCATTCAGACCGTCCTTCCCTTTTGTTCAAGTGTAGGATCGTTCATTCGAGCCAACGAGTAGGAATTTTTGGATTCCATGTTCCGAGCCGATGAATTGCGGAAGAGTATTTCTTTGGCCGACCCTACCCAATTGAGGGTAATGTTCCGAGCCGAATTCCGTCCAAAAAATTGGCTTGGAAGGTCGGGTACAAATGCGAATGCCTCACAAATTTTTAAATTTTTAGTTATTAATTTTTGGATTATTTAAACAACTCAATTACCAAATTTTTGGGCTACTTTTACAACTAGACTATTAAAATATGATATAAAAATATGTAAACTAACGTAATAAATCTAATTAATATGTTTTCTATTAGTTTAAAACACCATAAATAAAACACAATCACAAGTAATATGCTTTGTAAGTGACGATATATGACAAACAAAATAACGTCATTTTATAACATATTATTTTTAAAAAAAGTTAAATATACATGCAGGTTAGGTAGAAATACAAAAATTATATGAGTATGCCGCATTCATACATGATATTTGCAAAATACTAAAAAAACCTCCTTCCATTAGCCGGCCGACAAAATGCGGAAGCCGAATTATCGGGTAGAATTTTGAACACCCATATTCTAGAGATAATGCCCCATATGAAACCTTTCATGAGGGTGCCGCAACCCAGGCTTTACTTGTTTAAGAGTTCAGTGGCAAAAATATAGTGATCTTGTTTGTGTACTTCGTCCTGAACAACATCCAACCTTTTTAGCTGGCCAGCTGAGTCCCTTGAATGACTATTTTGCGTTTTACCCCAAGAAAAGGTCAACCCATGTCACCTACTTTCGATTGGGAACCCTATCTTAAAACCTGTGTTTTATAGCAACATCAGTGCTAGCAGGCGAACTTAGTTCTCTCTGGTTGGTGTTTTGGTTATTGGGCACAAAAATTTTGTGTCATATGTTGTAATGTGTTAATATCAGACATTGTTTACCATTCTTAATTGAACGGACATTGAAGTTCTTTTCAAATCTGTATAAAATCTTCCAACGTGGAATTTCAATGGAATCCCTGTGACAGGCCTTGAAACAATATATGAAACACCAGTTTCTTGGCTGCTTAAGTCTTAACACCTAATTTGGGTTTGATATATATCTCATTTTCAAGGTTTGTTGATTGTCTCCGACTCTCCCATCAATCAAAGAAGACAATCAAGGAAACTCAACATCAATGTCGAAAAAATAATTTCACATTCGATACTCAGTATGTAGTAATGTGGAAGTCCAGGAACAACAGGCAAGGAAAATCATATTAGTAATGTGACAAAGACCATGGTTTTTCATATGAGTTGCAAGTAAATGTGATTAATGGGCAATAACTATGACATAGTAGATGTTGAATAATCTACTACACATTTGAAGAACGAAAATACGATGGCAACATGTATGGCAGGAAGAATCTGTAAGCGAATTGCTGGCTTTGTTGCTTGCTGTTGTTTCAGGATGGTGTTCTGGAGCCACAAACATGGCCTGTAGCTTGGCCTCACTGGTCTTTGATTTATGAACTATTCTAGGATAAAAACCATATGTATGTTTGTTACTTGTGGTTATTTCTATGGTAAAACGAAAAGTCATCTTGGATTTCAAACTTTCGACCCCCTCCCAAGCCAATTTTTTGGTCAAATCGGGGGCATTTTGGTCATTTGGACTCAAAATAATCCCTGTCCAGAATTGCCGAGTTCTCTTAAAGAAATTCTCCAAGGATTAAACACCATTTCCGAAAAACTTATAACTTATTCAGCAAAAGTAAGCTCCATTGTCAAGGCAAGGCTACGTTGGTCGTTTTAACCTAGGAATGTGTGAAAATTGATCAAAGACATCCAACAGTGTTTTCGTGCAAAAACATTCTTTTTTAAAATACACATGAAGATACTATTTGTAGCACCACAATGCATTGTAATAGATGATTGTCTAGGCCAACGGAAAATAGAGTCTACCATATATTAGAAACATGAGGATTGCTAAAGCCTTTTCCCCTCACCGCTCCCGTCGTCCGTTAGTTATCTTGGCTAGTTGCATTGCAGAGTTAAGTTGTAGCTGCCTGTTTGATGGTCTAATGATTCTGATTATGTATATACTCTTGATTGGCCCCAGTGGGGGCTAACTAAAACATAGAATGTGTGATTAATCTAAATCATGGACTATTGTTTGCAGAACCATATTCATTTCATTAAAAATGCTCAGTTTATGGAGTATCTTATTGGGGGAAAGGACACATTTTATTGGCAAAACACAAATATCTGCTTGGAATATTATTCAAATCTAAGAGTATCAGAGTTCAGAGATGGCTGTGCAATACCATGTAGCTTTAGGCAGCAAGTGGATTATTGTAGCCCCAATCTATTAGCCTAGGTCGGCTAAAATCTTGCAAATAGACTTCATTGAGTCCATTCACTTTTAGAATCCACGGACCAACTATGAAAACGATGCATTTAAAGGAGGATCGTGGCACGTAGAGGAGCCTTTAGTAATAGGGAAATGCATGGTGCTTCTTTCTTAAAAATATCTTGAATGATGCAACTTTTCAAAATCTTGAATTCTTGTTAATCAGAGGGTAAAGGGGAATCCTATGTTGCATATATCCCAACTCGCTAGCAGCAATAGATGAAAAAGCAATATGTGAATCTTAACTTCTATTCTATATTTAAAAAAATTAAAGCCATTGTGGTGTTTTTGTTGTCTGCATGCTTATCTGTTGTAATATTCAATTGTTATTTATCTTTACTATCAGCAATTATTTGGGCGGTATGATGGAAAGGAATAGAAGAATACGCCGACTTTTTATGGGACAAAGTAATGTTCTTGGCCTCCCTTGGGGCGGTGGTATCTAACGAATTTAATGATGTGCCATTTTTTTCCCTTATAGATTGGATCATGGCATGTAGTTAGAGGATTATTGTTAATGGTCTTAGCTTGTATCGCCTGTTAATTTCCTGTTTTGTTTTTATATTGGTGGAATTCTTGTTCACGCTTTGTAATATTTTCCTCTTATTAATGAGAAGTTGTTTCTTATCAAGAAAAAGATAGGCTTTGATAATTGAAGCTTTCTCAATGGGCTCGAAGTGTAGTTAGATGACTCCTCATTGGATGCTAGTTTTTACTATTCTTGTTAGATTTTTTTTTTTTTTTTTTTTTTTTTGGACACAAACTATTCTTGTTAGCTGAGTTATAGCGAATTTGGGAAAACTGACAGTGAATGTGGCCCCAGGATCAAGTTGCATTAGTCCTATTCGTAGGATCTCAACCACATGGTGATGGGGCTGCAGTGATCATTAGTTGATAATTACTTGTGCAACTTTCTAGGAATCGTACAACAAAAAGTGAAGCCTTGAGAATCTGGTTGCACCTTCCCCTCCTGATATTTTGAAACCTTATCATCCAGCCCATCTAGTGCAGAAAGTAACATATGTGGATCCTTCTTTCTCATTGGCTTTGAGGGCTCTTATGCTAGTGGTCCGTCTTCCAAGTTGTAGAAGTAATCTTGGACTCTCTATATTCCATGGGCATAGCAATGCTTATGGATGATTAGGTAGTTATAAAGCGGAGTTGCAATGAATAATTACTTAATCAATGCATCTAGACTAATACATTTAATATGGTTCCACCAGCCTCACCCCCGAAAACCCTCCTCCTGGTAAGTAGCCCTTCATCTGTTAAAGACCACTTACCCTTGAATCTACAACTTTTTTGGGAAGAAAAAGACACCAGACTTCTGGCTAATGTTGTCCCTTAATTGGCATGCAAAACTTAATTGCTGAATTTAGCTGTAGAAAAACAGGAAAGAACTCTTTTAAGTGTACTTGGTGGGAAATATGCATGGGACATGTCCTCTTCTGGTGAATGAGATAAGTAATTTTTGTGCATGTTTGGATCTAGATCATACATAAATGTAATGGGCAGATTAATACCATGTAGAATGGCCTTCAAAGATGATAACGTGTGTGTGGCTTCTGTCGGCAGGATAAGATATGTGCTCAATTGGAAATAAGCCATGCCAACAAAGCAAAGACAGATATCAAGGATAATAACTGAGTGAACCGTTTTATCACCACACAACATTTCTTCCCTTTCAACGTCCCAATGAAATTGCGATCAAGTTGTTGAAAGATCATACTGGGGTTTTTGGACCACACTTTTTCTATGATACCTCACACATACATCCTAGTCCGATACTGATGTTATAAGATTCAGTGAAATGACACCAAGATATTGTGGGGGCATGAATTCTCATAACCTTATGCTGTTCTAGTATTTGTCACTCTCTAAAACGTGCTGTGTTGTGTTCCACTGGAACACTAGTAATTTTTTTTATGATTATTGATAGCAGATTACAATTTTTTTTTTTTGAACCATGACAGATTTCCATTTTTTTTTAACTATGATGACAGATTACCGAGTAGGGTTACCTTGCAACTGGAATCAACCAAACATTATGCTAAGGTGTAAAGAGCGATTTTCGATTTCTGTGTATATATACACATTGGGGTAAATATCATAGTTGGTCCCTAAACTTTGTCTCCAATTTTAATTTGATTCCTGAACTTTCAATTGTCCCAGTTTGGTCTCTCAACTATTAATTTCGTCTTAATTAAGTCCTTCCATCTATTATGTCTATTTTCCACCACTAGATCAAAATGAAAACATATAATTTAACACTCGAAATGGATTAGATTAGACTAGTATCCGTTGATCTAACGGTGAAAATGGACGTAGATAGAAGGACTTAATTAAGACGAAATTTATAGTTGAGGGATTTAATTAAGACGAAATTTATAGTTGAGGGACTAAATTAGAACAATTGAAAGTTCAGGAACCAAATTAAAATCGGAAGCAGAGTTTAGAGATTAATTATGATATTTATCCTATATATTAGTAGTATGCAGTCTATTGGAGATAGGCCCCTCCGGTATTAGTCAAAATTGCTGCTCCTGTACGTACTCTCATTTTATAGGCTTTTACTTTCGGTTGCACTAGCAATATTGACAAAAGTTGATGGTCAATTGTTGGTGCATGATTATGAACTACAGACTTTGCATGAAAATACCATACAAGTAAGTCTATTGTATTCTGTCTAGTGCATTTTTCTGTGATTTAATCTTATTAACCGATTTTCCCTTTTCAGCCATGGTAAATTTTGCTTTTACTCGCAGGAAATGAATTTTTGTTTATTCATCAAGTGACAGTATTTTATTATATTGTGTCAAAATTTTGTGTCTGTGTTTTGATGGTGGTGTTGAGATATTGTGGTGTCCTTAAGTGGCCCGAGAGGCCGACCTGTGTGCATTTACAAAGCACTAATCAAATCTAACAGAAGTATTGGTATTGTAATGCTGCAGGGTTTACAGATTTTGGTACTAGCAACCATTCTGACTCCAGGGACAGGGAGATCGAAGATATTTGTCTGGAACAAAAATAGAACCGGTTAGAGAATTTACTTTCACTAGAAATAAGGTTCCTGGCTTGCTCGTACTTTTCATATCTTACCTCTTTGACAGATGCCCCTTGCTATGAACTCGAAAATATTTGAAGAAATTTGCTGTTGATGACTTAGATATTGAAGCCCAGAATTGACACAATATTTTGGACACATGATACAGGTTAAGGTAGGTAACCTTTCTGTGGTGATTTTCAAATTTGAACTCTCGTCTGGTTGCTTTGATTATGATTTACTTTTAAGCAAGAAGTTCTGATCATGGTCTCATTTCTAATAGGCACAACATACAAGTGTAAATAGTGTTGGAAATAGGATGCTTCCCGAAAATCTATCATCTGAAACAAAATTAGAAAATTGTTTCAAACATTGTATGTTCACACTGTTTGTTACAAATTATGTTTGGCAAGTTTTTTCAATCTTCTTAGAAAACTAATCTTTGCTGGTACTTGACAGTAACTAAGGAATGAAGATTGCTAGACTATTTAGAAGATTGTTACAACCAGCAAATATCCTTCAGAGTTCCATCTTGTTGGTGACATCTTTTATCTGTTTGTAGATTCAATCACACATCCGATCAGTCCATTTCATGCAGGAATTTTTTTTTGGTTAATTGGCTTGCCTTTGATGACATATAGATGTACACACACGCGCGTGCACACTATTAATTAAATTAAAGGAGAAGAGGGGGTTTGGTGTTTATTGTGAAATATCTATTTTAGCCCTTAACTACTCATTATCATCCACAATTTTCCATTTTTGTTGATCTTTTTGCATGCATATATCTATCTATGTCTCACCATATCTCGCTCTTTTGTAATTACACATACGGATACCGTGTGCAAGCACCCTTACTATTGGTGGATGTTGTCGGTTATAAATTGTCTTGGGTAAAGATTCATGAAATATGAAAATTGTCTTTTCTTCACTCATTTTTCAGTTTTAAGACATGTCTTTATGAAAAAAAACATTAGTCATAGGCTGGAATTGCATCATTAAGCTTTCCTGACCCCTTTGTTTGCTTTATTTTTTGCTAGATACGATGAATTAAGAAGAGATAGATATGGGGGCAGAGCATATTTGCCAACATGCAGAAATCCCTGGGCAATGGGCTGGACTGATTTACAAGTCGAAGCCCAGTTGTGAAGATCATGGGCTAATCCATTACAGATTTATTGGTTGCTTAATGAACAGAATGGACAGAGAAGAAAGCAGTTTTGGCTCACCAACCTATGTCCATAATAACACCACAAGATGGCACTGGTGGCATCTCCCTACAAATGTAAGGCAACTTGCATAGATTTCTTTAACGCCAGTGCTCACTGGTCCAGGGAAGGGGGGAGACCACGTAGGATACAAAGAACTAGCTAGCTGGTGGGGGGGCATCACACAGGATTTTTACTTGGGGTTAAAGATACTAGTTTATGGAGTCTAGTTATATTAGAAAAAATTAAGATCAGTATTAAAAAAAAATTTAAACATTTTAGATCATGTTATAATTTATAAGGTTCAAATTATCCTTATCCTTAATATTGTAAAGATGAATTGCAAAAATTTTAACAATTATAACTTAGTCCCAATAAATTGTATAAAAAAAGAACTTAGAAAGGTGTATTAAAGTACTATTTTTAGCATGATTGGTGTAACAAACACTCGTTTTGTTTATTTTATTTAGGATAAATATCATAATTAGTCTTTTTAACTTTACATTTGATCACACTAACTTTTAATTATCTTAATTTAATCTATCAATTATCATTTTCATCTCAATTAAATTATTATATCTTATTTTCACTGTAGACCAACTTCTAAAGTGTCAAATCGTCTTCTGTTTTGTTTTGATTTAAGGGTGAAAATGAACCAAAAAAAAAAAAGCGCATGTTACACACAAACTTAAAAACTACCCGATTATCAAAACGTTGTTATTATGTCACTAATGAGTGTCAATACCACATATTTAATGATAGTAATTATTATATACCTATAAAATCAGATGCAAAATTTAAGAGACAATTATGACATCAACCCTTTATAATTTTATAAAGGATGAAGACATAAAATCTCAATCACTCTCCCCCTTCAATATTTGTTCTTTTTTTTCATTTCCACAACTGATTTTTTTACTGGTACCGCGAGCTCGTGATCTCACGATTGCATGGACTTTCGAATAAAAATGTTAACTCTCACATGGTAAATTATAAAGCCAAACATTGATGTGTGCCATCATTCCTTGGGCCACAAACCACACCAACTCTCAAAAACCCCTTCGAAATAAACAACACAACCCACGATTTAGAGTATGAAAAATGCATAAAAATAATTTAGCGAAGGGAGTGAGAACAATTCACAAGAACAATAATAAACCCTGAACCTCCATTCACTTCATTCCTCATATATTTGTAATTCTTAGAGAACAACAGTATAGAGAGCGAACAAGCGGTCAAAAAAGAGAGTCACACACCAAATCATAGAAAGAACCACATTGCATTAAAGATCTATAACCCAAACCCCCAAACACACCCCCTCATGCAGAAAACAATTGATATTACCAAACCCATAACAGATTACCGCCAAATCCTAAAACCTAGCTCCTCCAGCTACCATCGGAACCCCCACCACTCCTGCTGGAGTAGCGGGACCCACCATCACCATACCCACGGTCACCGCCACCATATCCACCACTCTCACGACGGCCACCGCCATAACCACCACCACCATAGCCGCCGCCGCCGCCGCTACCATATCCACCACCATCCCGACGACCGCCACCGCCGCCACCATATCCACCACCATCACGGCGGCCACCACTACGGAAACCACCACCACCACCTCCACCGCTCCCACGGGACTGAGCCTCGTTGACAGTGATGTTACGGCCGTCAAGATCCTGGCCGTTCATACCCTCGATCGCGTCCCTCATCGACTGCTCATCCTTGAAAGTCACAAACCCAAAGCCTCTTGACCTTCCAGTCTCACGATCATTGATGATCTACACATCAAACAACAACATCAACAAAAAACCATCAGATCTAACCAGATCCATAAATATAGATAGTATCAAAAGCTGAAAAGCGATCGATCTTCGTCTCTGGTAAAAGAGGAAGATGGAACGTACCATTCCAGGGAATCAAAAACAGTAACATATAGAGTAACAGAGACAGTAACAGATCAGAATCAAGAAAACCAGAGTAACAGTAAGATCAGATCAGATCAGGTGTCAACAAAGCCGAATCAGGGCGGATCCGATCTCTGCGACAAACGGACCTTCGAATCGATGATGTCGCCGAACTGAGCAAAGGCTTGTTCGAGGGACTGATCGGTGGTGGCCCAGGCCAACCCACCGACGAAACATCTGTACTCCACATCTGCAGACGCCATTGAGAGAGATAGAGAGAGCCTACTCAAAGAGAAATATAGGGAGATGAAGAAACAATGGCCTCCAACCGCCTCGTTATATAGCCGGAGGGTGCCGCATTGAACTAGGGTTACTCGGAGTGCGCAGTGCGCTTTTTGCCCTTTTTAACCTAACTATGGTTAGAAGTGGTGTGGAAAGAAGGTACACATTGTTTGGTTGCGGGTGCAGGTCTATCCTCTGCCTCTTTTTTCTCATTCTTCTCCAAGTTTTTTTGCCCATTAAAAATTCAAGACCAACTATTTGATTATATATCTCTTTTTATGATTTTTTAATAAAAAATAATATCTAAATAATATTGTAACACTTTTTTGAATTGAATCGAGCTATAAGAAATAGAAAATGGATCACGTATAATGCAATATAAATAATTTGCTACAATTAGTATCTTAGACTCATGAATTTTTCCTAATGGTAAATTATTATGACATAATATAAAGGTAGTGTTATCATACAAAAACAACATTAATATTCAATTTTTCCATTTTTTTTTCAAATCATTCCATATGATTTAGACATTTGAGGTTCATCCATTTCCTATACTTCATAAGAGTTAACCATATTTGTTCCTCATGGGACAAGTTTTAATCTCGCTCAAATTATAGTGGTCAGTATCTAAGCTCAAATAAGTAATCAATACAAATTTGAACTCCATATAACTATGTATACATAAAAAAAGAAGTAAATTAGGATGACAAACCAATCCATATGGTAATAAAATTTATTACCTAGGTTCAAAATGGTTAATACGAGATGGAACTCATATAAATTTTTGGATTGACTGGTGATGGGGTGAGTGCCCTCTAGTGCAGCAGGTTAATCTTCCAGATTGTTTGAACCTTAACAAAAAGGTAGCAGATTACATTGATGATAAAGGTAACTAAAATCTTCAAGAGACAGGTACTCTCCTTCCGCACTCCACTTTGTTTGATATTTTACATTTTCCCTATCCTTTATCTGTTGACTTTTAGGATACTATTTGTTGGGGGCTTTCACACAATGGTAAATTTTCTACGAATGCAGTTTATGATCTAATTTCTAAATCCAATTCTAGTAGTGGTTCTGCATTACAATGGGATTGGATTTAAAAATTAAATCTACCACAAAAATTGAAATAATTTCTATGGATTGTCCAACATGACAAACTTCTCACAAATAATCTTAGAGCCACAAGAAATATGATCAGCGATGCCTCATACTACTGTTATCTTTACCATTACTTCTCCTCCCTTTATTGCTTGATCTTTCCCTCACACAAATCGAAACAAAGCTTAACATGGATGGATGCTCAAAAGGGAACCCAAGCCCAGCTGGGATAGGAGGAATCAAAAGGTATGAAAGGCAAATGTATAGCAGGCTTCTATGAGAGGATAGAAGACTCCACGAGTCTTCAAGCGGAACTGGAGACTATTCAGAGGGGTCTGAAACTGGTTCAAAAGAGAAACATTACTCGGATTATTGTTGAAACAAATTCTCTCGATGCTGCAAAGCTCCTCTCTATGAACTCAGAGGCCACCCACCCGAACAGAGCTTTGATTATTCATTGCAGGAGGTTAATGGATATGATGCAGATCCCAATTATTCACACCCTTAGAGAAGAAAAGTAATGTGTTAACGCCTTGGCCAATCTTGGTGCCCAATAAATGAAAAAGTTTGTGGAGTTTGATGCTCCTCCTTCCCAGCTGGCTAATTTTTTGTTAGCTGATATAACCGGTGTGGCTTTTGCTAGGCATTATGTCTAGTTTTGTTCTGTTTTTTATCATCCCATGTACCCAAAAAAAAAGGTAATAAAATGGAATTAGGATATTGCGGAATCCGCATCTGGGATAGGAAGCACTAGGGCAGAATATTATTCTGAATATCCACGACATTTGTTACCTTAAGCGGACCCCACAGTCACGTGAATGTTTGATGGCTGGATATACTTTTGATTTTTAAATTATAGATATTTTTTCGGAGTAGTTGGATTGGTGGGGCCCGTATCAAATAGAAAATATCTATCGCTCACTCATTGGTCAAGGTGAAAATATCTATCAGTCGAGTTACATATCTACCCACGGACACTTGTTGAAATTACGATTTGATCCCAACTTAAAATGACCTTCTTGGAAGCTATTCATCACTCTTGGGGCCTGGCCCGCCTGGGCTGGGGGAAATGAGATCAGAGCTTGCAGGGGGCAGATAAAAGCAGGAATAAGAGTTATAAATTTAGTTATTATAAATTTAAAATTTAATAATTTTTTAAAGTCAAGTCATGAGATAATTATCCTCGTAAATACTTTAGTTTCAACGACGTAGATGATCTACCTTTAACCCAAAAAAAAAATCAAGCAGTACCTCCACTTCAACCAAGTTGCCCATTCTTTCAATTCTCCAATTTCAAATTTTATGAGATTCGATTATACGTTACATGACCAGATTATATATTTTTATAATAATTTGGATGAATGGGAAAAGTTTGATACTATAGCATTCGCATCATATATATATATATATATATATTTGTTCTAAGGTATTCAATTTTATGTTAATTATTTCCTTGAACTCGAATATTGATCATTGTAACTCGAACGAGTTTAAAATATGTCCCTTGAGGAACAGGGGTTACTTACCCTTGAAGGGTATAAAAAAATGTTAAATATAAGATTTTTGAATTACTAGAAGTGGGACTCAATCACTATTAATATGACCGTGAACATTATTTAAGAGAATAGTTTACTAATAATAACTCCTTGACCAAAGATATGCACTTTGAATTTGGGCCAGAGCTTCGTAGAAATGGACAATATGCTTCCACCCAAGCAACTAAGTAGCCATTCTTTCAAATTCTCAAATTTTAATTTATGAGATCCGATTATATATGACATGACATGACACGATTATTTATTATTATGATAATTTGGTCGGATGTGAATTGATTCAAGTGTGATACTATCTATAGATCTTATATGAAGCATGAACTTTATATGAGACGATAACGATACTCTACTAATCTCTCCCTCACCAAAGATATGCACCTTAAATTTGGGCCAAAATATCGTAAAAATGGGCCTTTGTGTTTTGTTGTCGCTTGTAGTTATGTACTATGTATTATGGGTGTTGCACGTTCCATTATAATATGAAATATTTGGAGGCCTGTATTTTTCTACAAACTTAAAATTTATTTGTTATGAAATTTATTTTTTATCAATTTATTGAACTATTCATTCATTTTAGAAGTGAAATAAAAGTAAAAATTAAAAACTCTTAAATATTAGGAATTTGATTAAAATTAAAAAAATTTATCTCTTACCAATATTCAAGTAATATTTTGAATATTTGTTATTTGTGTTATATTAAAATATGTTATACTACATTATGTTATGTTAGATTATTTAAAATATTAAATTTATTTAAAATTTAAAATTATGTTAACTTGGGTACGGGGCAAAAGGACAGTAATTAAAAATTTACCCACGTGAAAAAGGGTAATGGAAACCCGTTCCCCTCCGCTTTCGCTTCGGTCCACATCCCTATGTGCCATCTTTCCTTGGGCCACAAACCACACCAACTTTCAAAAACCCTTCTAAAAAAATTTCACGATAGAAGAGGCTTTTGTAGGTATTTGATGTCCGGACAAATGAACACAACCCACGATTTAGAGTATGAAAAATGCATAAGACTAATTTAGGAAAAGGAGTGGAACAATTCACAACAACAATAATAAACTGAACCGAAATTCACTTCATATATTTGTAATTCTTAGAGAACAACAGCATACAAAGTAGACAACTAAACAGGTCTAATTAGTTGCCCTCGATACTCCAATCAGAAGTAAATATTGACATTGTTCGTCTCAATATAGTTGAATTCAACACCACCACGACGACCATATCCACCACCATCACGACGACCGCCACCGCCATAAATATTGACATTATTCGTCTCGCTGCCTTCACCACCACCACGACGACCATATCCACCACCATCACGACGACCGCCACCGCCGCCACCATATCCACCACCATCACGGCGGCCACCACTACGGAAACCACCACCACCTCCACCGCTCCCACGGGACTGAGCCTCGTTGACAGTGATGTTACGGCCGTCAAGATCCTGGCCGTTCATACCCTCGATCGCGTCCCTCATCGACTGCTCATCCTTGAAAGTCACAAACCCAAAGCCTCTTGACCTTCCAGTCTCACGATCATTGATGATCTACACATCAAACAACAACAACAACAACAACAAAAAACCATCAGATCTAACCAGATCTATAAATATAGATAGTATCAAAAACTGAAAAGCGATCGATCTTCGTCCCTGGTAAAAGACGAAGATGGAACGTACCATTCCAGGGAATCAAAAACAGTAACATATAGAGTAACAGTGACAGTAACAGATCAGAATCAAGAAAACCAGAGTAACAGTAAGATCAGATCAGATCAGGTGTCAACAAAGCCGAATCAGGGCGGATCCGATCTCTGCGACAAACGGACCTTCGAATCGGCGATGTCGCCGTACTGAGCAAAGGCTTGTTCGAGGGACTGATCGGTGGTGCCCCAGGCCAACCCACCGACGAAACATCTGTACTCCACATCTGCAGACGCCATTAAGAGAGAGAGAGGGCAAAGAACCCGCCTCAGATAGAAATATAGGGGAGATGAAGAATCAATGGTCTCCAACCGCCTCGTTATATAGCCGGAGGGTGCCGCATTGAACTAGGGTTTCTCGGAGTGGGTGTGGAAAGAAGGTAGACCTTGTGCAGGTTTATCCACCGCCTCTTTTTTCTCATTCTTCTGCAAGTTTTTTTGCCCATTGAAAATTCAAGAGTCAAGACCAACTATTTGATTATATATCTCTTTTTTGAAGTAGAAAAAACTCTTTTATTATTAACGATGCCAAAATTTTACTTTCATTTTGGTTGTTTATGTAATATATATTTTGACTAAAATTGCACGCATAAAAAAATAAAAATATTTCGTTTCTTAAAGAATAAATTTTATAATATAAAATA